CCTTTGAAGTAGAGAGGCTCTCATAAATCTTAAAAATTGACAGTTCCTAATTGAAAATTGGCAAGGCTAACCTGGGCAGAAACACCTGCAATTTCCTCCCTATTTAAAAAGTCTGACACAAGAACATCTGTTCATTAAAACTCAAATACTCTCAGAAAAGAACCTCCCTTGTCAATTAAAAATGATTTAAACCACCTGGCTTTATAAAGCTGTTTAGTGGTTTAAAGAGTTTGCAACTCTACTGGGAGAATCCCAAAGACTTTTCCCTCCCAAAGATTCCTGTAAATCAGCAATAATCAATAGAAAATAATTTGAACCCTTCAGTTGTCCTCTACATTCGGAATAATCACAAGAACCAAAACATTTGCAAACAAAGAGGGAGAAAGAATATGTAACCAAGAGAAAACGTGTATAGTTGCAAGAATTAAGTTCTTACATCACTAACTAGTTGGAAAGGGTTGGGAGGAGCTGGATGGATCAAGAAGAACTTGTGTGTTCATAACAATAGTTTCTTCCAAGGGAGGTCTCACCTCTGCTTTGGGAACCTTGTTAAGAGGCAGTGCTGAGAACTACTTCAGGGTGCATCATTTGAAACTGATGCTGCCAAGAACAAGGGACAAAAGTTCAAAATATGCTATATATCCCATTTTATAACAACTCCTTTGTGGGGAGGGGGGATCTTGAAATGAGAATGTTATAAATGAGAGCTGCATGCCTGGAATGAGAATATATTATCCTTTACGTTCTAAGAGAACCTTTGAATAACGTTCCCAGAAATGCTCCCTCTAAGCTGTGGAGTCTTGTGAGCAAAAATTCTACTTTGTGAGCTACTGGCATTAAAGTTGTGAGCGAGCGATTTGGCTACTGCATAAATGAGTTTGCTCTGGAGCCCTCCTTTCTGAGCTAAGACTAAAATGTGTGAGCCAGAGGCTAAAAAACTGTGAGCTAGCTCACACTAACTTGGATGGAGGGAACACTGGTGACAGCCTCCAGGCGCCTGCTATTAGCACTCATCTCCAACTGACAGAGATCAGTTCACCTGGAGAAAACGGCCACTTTGGAAGTTGGACTCCATGGCATTATGCCCGAAACCCCACCCTCCTTAGGCTCCATCTACCAAATCTCCAGGTATTACCCAGCCCAGAGCTGGCAACCCTACATTTGAACCTCCTGCAGTTTTAAACTCCTGAATAGCCAAAGAAAAGGGGATGGTGAGGTTTAGCAGGAGACAATGCACCGCTCTTGACTGTGCTGAAATCCAGCCCCATAGCTTCCTGCTAAATAATGAGGCGTGCTTCTGCAATCACTTGAATTGCAAACTCTACAAAATCACTTGGGATATTTTTGCCCCTTTTAAATTTCATACATTTTAAGCAAAGAAACTGACTTTTGCATCTGCATTTAACATATCCCTTGATTAGATCTTGTCAGGCTGTCTTTAAATGCTATCTAAGTCTGGGAGTTTCTCACTGCAGCCTGTAATTAAAGGAAGAGCTTGTTCAGATACCTTGCCTGATTCCTCATCTCCTTCAACATCTTCCCAGGACTGGCTGGTGCACTGTGGGATGGATGGAGGCTCTGCTTGTGCATCAGCTTTCTCACTGAATAAACTCACAGTGGCACTGATGTCATTCATAAGCCGTGGTTGCTTAAATTCCCACATAGAAACCAAGTGAAGCTTTTTTTTTTCCCTGTGGGAAAAATTAAGTGGCTTCAATGGAGGGATTGTTGTTGAGGGAACAGCAAATACTGGATGCCATTTCATGCCTCCTGTGACCCCAGTGTCAGGGACAGCAGTTACCCAAATTTGTTCCTGTATCAGGGCTATCACATGAAGAGCATACCCTACACAGGAAGAACTGATGGATGGATTGTTTGAGTGTTGTGTACAGAGTGCCCATTCCCAGGAAAGGAGAGATGAGATGGAGACAGATACTTAACCAGTAAGTAACTATTACCCTATCCAAGATACAGAATAGAAGGATGGGGAGCTAGATATAGTACAGGACAGCAAGACTGAAAAAGAAATACTGTATTAATTCACATGTGCCAATCCATTAAAAACTATTTACTTTTGTAATTCCCACTTTGGCGGGAGGGCAGGGTAGAAATGTAATAAATGAAATAAATAAATAAATAAATAAATAAATAAATGGTTTCCCTTGTTCGAAAGCTAGTTGAATCCAACTCTAGGGGGCGGTGCTCATCTCTGTTTCCAAGCTGAAGAGCCAGCGCTGTCCAAAGACATCTCTGTGGTCATGTGGCTGGCATGACTAGATGCCGAGGCACAAAGAACTCTATTACCTTCCCACTTAAGTGGTACCTATTTATCTCCTTGCAATTTCTTGCTTTTGAACTACTGGGTTGGCAGGAGCTGGGGCCAGACACGGGAGCTCACTCCATCACGTGGCACTAGGATCTTGAACTGCCAAGCTACTGATCTTCCGGTCTGCAGCCCAGCGTTTTAACCTCTGAGCCACTGTGGCCCCTTTCAGTTTTATTACTTTAAGATAAATACTCAATTATAGTTACTTTTAAACAAAATTATTTTCCTCCCACATTTCTCCAGAAAAAAACAACCTAAAGAGGAGAGGTGCTGGGATGCTCAAGAAGGGACCCAAGGCTGCAATGGGATAAAGGGGGAAGGGCTTTTTTGATAGGAAGGGAAAAATCCCTAGCCAGGTGGGAGATGCTATGGGAGAACCAGCTGACAGCAGGACAAAGCAATTGAGAATGGAAAATGAAGCTAAGAGGTGGGAGCAGGTATAAAGATGCAGAAAGTCGCATCCAAGAAGGAAGCCGAATGGGAGAAAGAAAAACATACCCTACCTGTTGTGGCAATCATCCACAAAAGTCCCACCTCTTCTTTAGGGCTCTGAACCAAACCTTATGATTTTGGCCTCATGCAAATCCAAGTGATTGTCAGCCAATCAGAGCCCATGGAATGTGGCTGTCAGCCTCAGTTTAAGAGTGGAAACTTTTGGTTTATCTAGATTTTAGTGAGGGTTTAGGGTTGGTTTGGGGAAGAAAGATTGGTTTAGTGAGTCAGATAAGCATTCTGTTAAGGGCCCTACATTCCTAACTTACATGTACAGGTTCTGTGGACAAGTGTTCTGTGTGATAAAATAGCAGTCTTGTAACTGCTGAGGTAACGTGTCTGGAGAAAGGGGAATCAACTCTCCCCTCAGGCTTTATTTACTTTATTTGAGACTCAGCTATAAAGTGGTTACTCTGATTGGGGAAAGCTTGTAACCTATGGGAGTGGAGAGCCAGTTTCTCTTTATATACTGAAGCAACCCACGTAAAACATTTACCTGTTAAATACTTTATTTTCTGTTAAATATGTGTTGTTCATCTCCTTCTGTGTCTTGTCTGTCTAGTCAAATATCTATGAAAAAATAAGTACAGCCTTCATCTAGCAGGTTCCTAAATAAGAGATCTTTATGGAGCACATAGATTACATGCTCCCGACCTTTTAATCAAAGCTTATGTGCCCCCTTTTACCTGATTGTGGGTGCCTGGGGTTTAGGAATCCATAGGCCAGAGTAGGGGACTGGACATTCTTTAGTGCGATGAGCAGTCATCACGGAGTCGCCCCCCCACACCCCATAGCCACTACACTGTCTTGAGGAAGTTCAACTGATTTTGTGTTCGCAATGCTGGAAGAAAATTTGGAGGCAAAACCAATTCCAAGAATGGTTGGCCTAACATGCCCATTTTAGGTACTTGGATTTACATGGGTGCAAATGGGGGAGGAACTGCTATTGTCCAAATTTGATGCAGAACTAGGATAAGCAATGGCATTGGGACAGAAGCAGAGGATCTGATGGTCCATGGGTGAAGTTTGTGTTGTACTGTGATGGTATAACTTCAGGATTTGAAACCCTATTGATTAGGTTCCCACACTGCCCTCCATCCAGGCAGGGGATCACACGGAAGTGACATCATCATGTGGGTGATGTTGCACAGCAACACTTCACTTTTGGGGCAAAACTCTATGGTCTGAGCCCAATTTTAACCATAGAGTTTGCCCAAAAAGCAGAACATCACCATGTGATGTCACCAACATGATGACATCACTTCGGTGTGACATCATTGCATTGAGGATGTCATCGCCCACTCTCAGATCACCCCCCAAATTCCACCACCAGTGCGACAATCACGCCTGGAAACTCTACTATTGATGCAGGTGTCAGGATCAAAGCAGCTATAGGACAGTTCAAACTTGTTATTGTAAAAGAGTATAAGACAAAAGTATCTAGGTGATATAATGAAGAACAGGAGAAGTGTCTGGCTGCAAATGACTAATTAGCTTGAGTGGCAGGAATAACTCAGACCTGCTGATAATGGCCAGGAGATGGGCTGATGGCTCTGTCTGGGCTCTTGATTGAGATATCATCGAAGTCTGTATTGTGCGGGAGATTCTGAGGACTTTGGTTATTAACCTGCAAACCTGTGTCTTTACTCACAGCCTTTGGTGTGAAGACCTTTACAGGGTCACACAAAAGTTGTTTGATTAAAGATTCCCTAGAGTATTGAGTCACACAAGCTACTTTCTCTTGAAAGTGTCTGGAGAAATAAGTGTTTTAATTGAGAGACCCTGTCTTGACATCAAAATGGATGGATTAATCTGCTCCTCTAGTTTTGGAAGGCCAAAGGATGTCAGGGTCTGGGCAGGGTAAAGCCCTCCTACTTTCGCACACACATGTTAATGAAAGTCAGTCATTCTTATCAGATAAAGTAAGTGCAGCCCTATAAAAGAAATCAAAGCATACTTTTTAACCAGTTTGCACTTTTAATTTAAAAGGTTTGGTTTGTGTATAAAAGGTGTCAATCCATAATACAGCTGTGTTAGTGGGAATGCTGGAAATTATCCTAAACTGCAGGAGTGATAAAACTGGTTTCACATAAGGATAGGAATTAGAACAAGTCCCAGTTCATTACTGCAGTCCATGTTGGCTCTTTATGTACTCACCTCATCTCTCTTCTTTTATTTCCAGAGAGTGGCTGATGCAGCAGAAAAGTTTCAGAAAGCCCATCATTGGCAAGACAATATTGGGGTAAGCCTCCAAATCTCTTTCTATTGATCTGTAGCCATCATAGGATGGCTTTGTTTCTCTCTCCCAGAGAGTCACATACAATGAGTCTTTATATGCAAGGCTAATGTAAAATGTGTACAATTTAGGAATGCCAGCCTCCAGGTGTGACTTGGGGAGCCCTGGAATTACAGCTCATCTCCAGACTACAGAGATAGTTCCCCTGGAGAAAATGGATGTTTTGGAGGGTGGTCTCTGGCACTATGCCCCACGGAGGTCCCTGTCCTTCCCAGGCTCCATCCCCAAATCTCCAGGAGTTTCCCAACCTGAATCTGGCAACCCTACCCCACACCCCACTGGTGGCCAGGGGGGACCTGGCAACCCTAGTACAAATTCAGTACATGCCATTAACTTGTCTGGCTGTTTAGTCTATTAAAAAAAAAAAAACTTGTCTGGCTGTTTAGTCCTGGACTAATGGATGGTAATATTCCAGAAACAACTCTTCTCTTAGGGGCAGGTAGATGTATTATTAGTTCAAGTTACACCTGTCTCCAAAAACATGTATGACTCTAGCAATGTTTTCACTGCTCTTATAAAGTATGGCAAGTGTATGACTCATCATGATCTAAAAAGCTCTGAAAATATCTCTAAGTATCCAGATTAAAGTTGTTTAGATACTCTGGGTATTTAAAGTCTCTTTCTAGCTGCTTCTCTCTTTCCTTCCCTGCATCCTCTAATTTTGTCCTCTGTGGCCCCCCAGCCCTTCCTTTATACCTGATTTTTAAAACAAGCTCTGTCTTCACAAGTTCATAGATGCCTGCTTCTTGTCTGTCAGTCCGCAGGCACCCACCAGCCATAATGGAAGTGAATGAAGTAATATTAAGCTCATTTTTAGTATTGCCTCTGTCTGCATGCACAGGTAATAAGACTAGTCGGATACAGAAGGTGAAGGTCAAATTAGCCGTTAAAGATGAGAAATCCTTTGAGGGCTTACAATCCTGCCATCCTAATAACCCAAGGATTTGTGTGGTCAGAGGGAGCTATATAGGCCATGGGTTTTCTCAGTGCAGCTGCAAGGAAAGGCAGATCTTCTGTGAAAAAAGGCAATTGAAACTGAATATTTCCCTGAGTGTGTACTTTTTTATATTACTTGACACAACTAATTCCAGTTAGTGTTGGTGAAGGAGGAGGGAAAGAGCATCCTAAGATGCTGTTAAACAAATGCTGCTGTTTTAATTATTGCATTTTACTTTGTAATTATGGCAGTAATAAAGCTCAGCAAGAACCTGTGCTATTTTGTCTGTAAATGCATTCAGATTATTATGGCAAAATGAGAGGAAGGAAAGACTCCTTTGCATTCAGTAAATCCCCCAAAGAACCCCAAACCAGCTAAAGAACTTATTTTAATAAAATGAAAGGGGAGTTGCTTTTGGGTCGCTTTCGTTAGTACCATCCAGTTTTGTCCATATGAGCATTCTCCAAATATCTTGAAAAATCCAATAGAAAAGCTTTGAAGGGACACATTAATAATCAATTTGTAATAAAATATATTTTTATATACTGACCAGTTCCAGACAATAGTGAGCTAGAGTACTCTACTACCCTTCTGCTGAGACCTCAGAATGTCCCAGTTAGATGTAATCTCCTCCCCACATTTGTGCTTTGGAATATGTGTGTTAATCTTTAGAGAGATAGCGCATGGAAGAGCCTTACAGCAGGAGGGTGGACTTGATAAACTTTGGGATCTCTTGACTCTCATTCGATGTCTTTCTAATACTGAGAGATTCTCCCATCAACAGAATATAAGTCTTGACCCGGCTGCCAATGAATAGATTCACTTCTAAAAGTATGCTTTTCACTTCATTACCTCTAAAGAATTATCTTTTGATAAGCTTATTCAGAGCTCAAGGGGAGAAAGCTGGAGGGGGCAACAGCTGAAGGTCACTATAAAAATCCCGAAGGGCTGAAAGATCCCCTCCCCCCAGCAATTCACCCACAGCCTGCTGTTCTGCTTTCTCTAGTGAGGTGCGTTCTTGGTTACAGAGGTGACTTGGTATTCCCTTTACTTATTTAGAGGATCAAAGAGCAAGCCCTCTGAGCGCTGGGTAAATCTGTTGTTATAACGTTATGCCTGAGTGCATTTGAGACCTGAGACTTGACCGAGGTATGAAAAGACAAAACTGTGAAACACCTTCTGAATGCCAATGTGTCCTTCACAGAGGCCTCTTATGGCACAGTGGAAAGTTCCATTGAGGGAGGATGGACAATGAAGCAGGGCTGGGGCCTGTGTTTACCATATGGAGGCTGGGGCGAACTGTAAAATAGAAGCAGAAGCCAGGGAGACATATGGCCAAATCCTGTCCGCCGTGCATCTGCATGATCACCATTCCATTCACCTTATGGGGAAAGAATTTTTAGCCTAGGGACAAGAAAAAAAACAGAAGAGAGAGAGAGAGAGAATACTGAGCAGAAAAATGTCTAGAGCTATCAATAGTGAATGATGCAGATGGTATGAGTTTACTCTCTTTCCACTGACAGACAAATAAAAACCTGGCTTTTCCTCAAAGTTTTCTCACCTTTTGCCTGATTTCTAGCACTTTTTGCTGCTTGTTGATTTATTTATTTTTCATTGTTTTAAATTATATATTTATTTTTCAGTTCTTTCTCTGTATTCTCTCATTTGCTATTTTCACTCAATTATTGTGTTGTATTTTATATATTATGTGAGCATCCCTGAGTACAGTTGTTTTCTATTGGCAGGTAAGCAGTTGTGGTTTATTAACTTGTGAGCATATATGACTGAAGTGGGAAGGCAAACCGCATGAATTTCTGATGTATAGAGTCTGACATATACTGAAGCATTCCTGTGTTTGCTTGGCTGTGCCCTGCATCCATTTTGCAATTTCTGCGGCTAACAAAGGATGATGAGCAGGGATGCAGCAGATGTGTGTTGATTTGTGAGTTAAATGTGTGGTGTAGCAGACTGCATGATTGCTTTACCACAAACTGCACAGAATTTACTGCCAGCAGCAGGGAGAAAATATTTGCTCTAGACGTTCAAATACTTTTGTCACCCATTCACTTTTCACCATTTTACTGTGAACCTGATAGGCCTTTTGTGGTGATATTGACAGTTAAGACACAGTGTGACATCCTATTTTGTATCATCATGGGGAAAAATAAACCCTGATATTTCAACTTTGGAATTGGAGCTTTCATAGTGTGAGGAAAGTGGGGCTGATCAAGCTTTCTCTAAGCTATTGTTGCTGTTCTCTTTTTAGCAACACAATGTTGGTTGTGAACAGTTATGTTCAAGTTGTATCACTGACTGTACAGTCCTAAGCAGAGTTGCATCTTGCTAAGCCCATTGACTACAATGAAATTAGAAATGTGTAGCTTTGCTTTAGGATTGTTCTGTTAGGCCCCGGTCACACTGGGGGGGAAAGGTGCGGCCGAAGTGCGGCTTTTTTGAGCCGCATCAAAAGAGACGTGCTGCAGCGGGATCAGACAGATTCCCCGAGCCACCACGCAGTTGCTCCCCGGCACGATCAGATGCCAGGGGGAAGCCACAGATCAGTGAGCAAGGCAGCCCGCTGTGCATGTGCGCACCTGCGCAGTTTGGCCAGGGGCCTCAGATGCTGCTGGAGACGAGCGCGCCGGCAATCCCACGGCCGCCCCTTTTGCGGATTTTCAGGTAAGTAGTAGTGTTTTCTAGGGAGGGTTTGATGCGCAGTTTCGCCCGGAAGGGACGGATCGGGGACGGGTGCGCTCCGCTTCCCAGATGTTGCGGTGTGATCGCGCTCGCTTGATGTGCCCCCGATCCGTCCCTCTTGCGTGGCAAATCCTCCCGTGTGACCAGAGCCTTTGTTAATCAGTTTAACTAAAATTACATTCGTAAAAGGAAGTACCTGGCATTTATCTGTATATAACTTGTTGCTGTTGGCTATTGTGACAAAAAAATTGTGACTGTCTCATTCCTTTTCGTAGACTAGGTCTGCACATGCAGGAGAATGGGATGGTTATAAGGTGGCAGAATTCTGAGGTGGTAGAATAAACAGTATTACTTCATACAGTGAATTGGGAGAACATTTTTTTCAGTGTTCCAGTTGTGTATGAGAAAAATAACTTTGCAAATAGAATGCACGTAGTACAGAACAGTCTGGGATAGAAACATTCTGCCAGATGTTCTAGTTGTCCAAGTTTTGCCCAGAGACAACCACACTGGCCAATGCCTCCCCCTATGTCTTCCCCGGCCTTCTGTTGTTGTCAGGTCAGGCCTGCCACCTTAGGACAAACATAACCATGAGAATCAGGGGTCATTTCGTAGAAAAAGAGCTAGGGGAACTCATTAGCATAACTCATTAGCATATGCCACACCCCCTGACATCAGGGGCCCGGCGGTGGACCTGCAAGGCCAGCGGGAGTGCGAGGAAGCCCCGCCAAGGCCCTCCCTGGCCCCAGGCAGGCAGGGGTGGGTAGAGGCGGGGAGGAAGCAACTTACCCTCCCTCTTCTCCTGCCTCCTCCTGGCTGAATGAGGACTGGAAGCTGGGCGGCCGGAATCAGGGGGCGGGGCTTCATCATGTGCCCTGCCCCCTGCACCTCACCCGGGGGAACTGCGTTCCCCCGCGTTCCCCCCCGAAATGACCTCTGGTTAGAATAATGCTTTCCTATATTGCATTGCCCTCACACGGGATAGGCAAGGGGAGGTATAATAGTGTAGTTTCCAGTGGGAGCAACTGCTCAGCATGCCTGAGAAGCAAACAGTTAACCAGCAAGTTGGGGAAGGAAGGGACAGTTATTGCAGCCATTGTTGCTTCTGCCTTTTAAGTAGCTACTCACTACTCAAACAATGCAGCTAATTCCCTGCCTGCAGTTTTACATCTTGGCAAGTGAGTGAACTTTGCCATGTACACAGGCCTCTGGAAATTTTGCCAGAGATGGAACCCTCTTTTTGCTGTCCCCAGACAGGATTAGAAAATTTTCTGTTTCAGCTTAGCCTTAAATACATACATATGTCTGAAGT